AAACTAATTCTAGGCCTCTAGGTTATAGAATTAGCCTTTATTATAATAGTATACTTTAATATTAGCTTTATAACCTTTATTAATAAGATTATAATACTTATAATACTTAAAGTAATTATATTCTAGGTACTACTAACTACTATACTATTCCTACTTTCTATTAAAGATATAGATATACTAGGGATTTAGCTAGATAATATTAATAATATACTCTACTAAGGATAGCTAAAGGTCCCTATTATAAGATACTAGGGATACCCTTAGTAAATACTATATACTACTAAAGCTACTACTTTTTACCTAATAAAAGGAGAGCTTTAGTATTTATACTACTACTTTAGGCACCCTTTAATAGCCTACCTTAGCTAAATACTAGAATATATAGAAAAGGAATTTAGTAAAGAAGTACTAGACTACTTAATAGCTACCTATAAGTAATACTAGCTATATACTAAGTCCTTTAGATAATTCTAATTTACCTTAAAAGATAAATATAAATTTAACTATAAAATACTAATTAATATAATATATCTTAATAATTAATAACTTATCCTATATATACTAGATACTATTACCTCTTTCTAGGTAGTTTAATTCCTTTATAGAAGTATAAGAAGCCCCCTAGAGAGTACTAAAAGCCTTTAGGATATACTCTAGTATTATTAGATTAATATATACTTTAAACCCCCTAAATAGATTATCTATAATACTAGAAATAACTTTTTATTAACTAAATTCTATAAATATATAAAGAAACTAGATATTTAAATATACCTAGTACCTATAAAAGCTTATAATATAATTAATAAGCTAGAATACTATTATACCCCCTTTTAATATACCTATAATATTATCTATAAAGAGCTATAGGGTACCTTAGGTACTAATAAGTACTTATAACTTACTATTAAAGCTATAAATAACTTTACTAGCTTTAATAGCCTAGTATCTACCTTACTAGTCTTTAGTACCTACCCCTACCTCTTAGAAGGCTCTCTACTATACCCTTTAATAGCCTAATATATTAAAGCCCTCTAGAAAGTAACTAACACTACCTAGAAAGCCCTCTCCTTATAGTAGGTATATAAGGTGTTAGCTATATATAATAGCCTTAATATAGGCCCTTTATACTACCTACTATTATAGTTAAATATCTATATTTAATATAAAAATACTAGCTAGACTAGCTTTTATAAGTTAATAGGTATAGATACTAGAAAATATACTATAAAAATACTATCTAGCCCTATTAGCTTCTATATAATTACTATATACCTATTCTTTATTAAAAAGGACCTAGATATAGACCTAGAAGTACTATAAACCCTTAAAAGTAATACTAATAGTAAGTATAACTTTAATAATAACCTAGACTATAATTATTAGGCCCTTAAGACTACTAAAGCTACCCTAAAGCCTACTAAAGCCTTTCTAAAGCCTACTAAGACTACTCTAGAACCTACTAAAACTATTCTAAAGCCCTTTAAGGCTACCCTAAGGCTTATTAAATAGATCTAAGTTATTATCCCCTATAAGCCTAGGTATTTATAAGTAATTCCTAATATAAAGATAAAATACTAGCCTATAAAGTATTAAATTTTATTAAAAATAACTAAAAATAAAATATTCCTCTTTATTAAAAAGAAAAATAATATAGAATACTACCTAAAGCTTTAAAAGGATAATATACTTCCTAATAATAAGCCTTTATTCTTTACCTTTACTAAAAAGGAGTTATAAAGCCTTCTAGAATATAGAGTTTTTTAATTTATTAAGTTTAACCTTACTATCTACTATAAATACCTATTTAAGTTCTAAATAGTTAATAAGATTAAGTCTAATACTACTAAAAAGCCTATAAAGAAAATATATATAATTTTATATAGTTATTAAAACTATAATAAAGATATACTATTTACTTAATTACTAACTATCTAAAGGATAAGCTAATATCTAATTCTAGGTCTTATATTAACTTAAATCTAATAAGGTTAGCTACTATAACTTTAGGATATTACCTAGGCCTATATATAGGCTAGAACCTACCTTTAGTAGTATATTCTTACCTAGATTCCCCTAGAACTTTACTATCTTTACTTTAAAGGTATTATTATTAAGGTTATTTTACTACTATATAGTATCTTTAAGTCTAATACTTACTAATAAATAATATACTTTACCTATTATCTTAAGAAGCTTAAGATATTACTATCTACCTATAATTAGTACCTTTTACTAGCTTTAGGCCTTAATCTAGGTATTATTAGTATATAGACTAATAATATAATTAGCCTTAGTATTACTACTTTTAGTAAATAAAAAGCTAATACCCTTATTACTACTAGATTCTTAACTAAGTTAAAAGAGATATTTATAGTAAAGAACCTACTAATATTTAATAAATACTATATTTCTTTAGATACTAATAGTACTATTTTAATAGTCTTAAAAGGATAATTAAAGAAACTCTAATTACTAATAAACCTAAAAAGGTATATTAAATAGTAAGCTTAAGGTATATACTTAGCCTTTATATACTAACTAAAAACTATATTTAACCTATTTATTACTATATAATTTAAGGAGCTTAAAAAAGATAATTTTAAATACCTAAATACCTATATTTAATAGTAAATTAAGAATACTATCTAAGGCCTTTAGTACTTACTAATCTAGTTAAGAATAACTAAGCTATTTATTTTTATTAATAGTTCTTTTATTAATAATAAAGATTTTAATTCTTAATTAAGATATATAATTATTCTAAGTAATAAAGAACTAGTTAACTATACTAAAATTACTATTTAAGGTAATATTATTACCTAAAGCTTAATAAAAAGTAAATATATTACCTAAAGTATACTAATATTAAAACTATATAGTATAGTTCTAAGTATTAATATAAGCTATACCTTTTTTATTACCTTAAATAAGATTATAAAATTAATAGGCTTAATAGTAATTCTAATAGTAGTTTATATAGATTTATTTTTACTATATAAATACCTAATAAAGCTTAGAATTACTAAAGAGAAGTGCTTAATAATTAATATTATAATACTATATTAGTCCTATAAACACTATAAGCTTACTAAAGTCTACTAAATTAATAGTAATAATAACCTTATAGATATATTAATAAAGGCTACCTTAAATAAGGTATTATAAAAGCTAGTTAATAGTAACTAATTAATATTATATATTTAAGGCTAGGTTAGCTATACTATAAAAGCTATAAAGAGGCCTAAAGGCTATATAACTTAACTAAAAAAAAAGATTATTAGTATTATACTAATAGGTATTATAGTAAATATAGTTAGCTAAATATAGTAAATATTTAGTAAGATATACTATATATAGAGGTATATAGTAAATAGATTTATATTATATATAGTTATATATAGTAGCTAATTATATTATATAGTATATATATATAGTAATTATACTATATAATAATATATAAAGAAGTCTTAATACCTATAGCCTTAATATAAAGTATTATAAAGGCTACTATAGTAAATAATTAAGCTAATAAAGCTAGACTACTATAAAGGTATTATTACCTTCTATAGGTAAGTAAAGTAACTACCTATAAGCTATTAACTACTAATATATATAACTACTAATTATTCCTTTATTTTTATAATTTCCTAGTAGTACCTAAGGTACTACCTATTTATATATTTAACTATTACCTCTCCCTTCTATAGTTTATTTAGTTAGTTAATTAAGAATTATTATTATATAACTATTCTTATAGAGCACCTCTATAAGCACTCTATGCCTATGATCTTATAACTGTTACCTGCTTAGGATAGCGATCCTAATAAACCACTGTTCTGTGATGCTAGTAACTATGACGGAACGGGCCTGCACGGCGCCAGTGCAACCAGCCACTACTGCCATCAATAGTCAATAGCGCGAGGCATAATCCACTAGACCAAAAGGATATAAAAACAACACAACGTTAGACATAACCTATTCCAACTCCACAGAGTTAACCTTACCAAGTTGAGGTTTTCTACTAATATATAAAAGCACTATATAGTAATTACTAAATACTATATATATAAGGAACACTACCTTATAAAAGACACTATAATACTAGAACTTAATAACTAAAGAGGAAGGTAAAGTACTACCTATTACTATCAAGAAATAATTTTATAGATAGTATAGAGTTAGGGATATAGAATAATGCCTATAGAAGAAGGGGCTCTGCCAGGATTGAGCATGGATCAAATTCCGTTTCATCTCCCTAATAGCGATGGCATGCTTATTATCACCCAACCGGACCGAGTACATGTTGTCCACATTCTCAGGACTGACAGTCTCTGACAGCGGTTTGTTATGGGAGGACTGCAACACGGGCGGATAAGTAGCCCATGCCGAAAGAATAATGTTGGATATCTCGGCGTGAAACCAGTGCTCGTAGTCGGCTTCGACCTCAAATCTCCAGCTCCTCGTATTCGGCGCCACACAGAATTGGCTCATACGAAGTCCATCGTCGTCAAATAGGGGCAGGGACGTATAGTCAAACCCAGTTTCAGTAAGGCCCTCCTTATCGACACGAGAGTATAGTATAAATAACTTAGAGTATATAAATAACCTATATACTACTTAAGGTTATTTACTTTAATACTAAATTTAAATATAACTTAATTATAAATTTAAGTAAGTTAATTTAATTTAAAAGTAGTTTTATTTATTTTTATCTACTTATTTTATTAAACTATAATATCTTATAATAATATGTCTATTAAGACGTATTATTCTTTTGCTATTTTTTAGTCTACATTTCTTATATATTACCTGTCTTTAGGTTAGTAGTGATGCCTTTGAAACTGTGTGCCTGACACTTGTCCAACCCACCATGCCCAAATGTCCCCTCCCACAGCATATCTCAGCATAATCATGATCCAGCCACAATCATTCCTGTCAGATTTCAAAGTCAACAGACTCAAAAGCAAGCGCTTGCAAACCAGTAAGAAACGTGAATTATGGCAGCCGCATCATCCCGTCAAGAAACGCCGACCCAACAACTCGCCATCAAGGACTTATTCGAAGTTCTCTCGACAAGAGAAAAGCTCTATGCACATCATCTCGCACAAGCTGCCTGGAATGGTAGCAGAATAATTTTGCGGCAAACCTCACCTGAGGGTACAGGCATTTTTGATTTCATTATTGAGCTTCACAAGGCTTGCGGAGGACAATGGGACTCGCTTGTCGAGCTGCAAGGGGTCGATCCCCACGACTTGACTGCATTTCTTGAGTTTGCGGGCCTGTTCCTATCTGGCTTGGGCAACTACTTTGTAAATATTGCTCGTTACAAACAAATCCCAATTCGCTAACGAGCGTTCGTCTTCAGGGAGAAGGGGACCAAAAGTTGTTCCTCCGATTTCTCGCGATGCACTTCTCAATATGGCGAGCAGCTCTCCAGAGGCTGCAGCAGCATTGGAGAAAATCATCAAGCCACTAACATCGCCTCTGCCATCAAGCCTCGGCTTCCCCGATGAAAACAATCAGTCAAACTACTACCCTGGAGAAGGACAAATCACCAAGGACGAGATCGCCGCAGTAGCCAGAGTGATGGAGGAGAACTCCATTGAACCAGAAAACACTCGAATCCACAAACGCACTATTGGACAGTCGGTATCTTTTGATGTTCTTCAAGCCTCATCGGGGCCGACTAGCGGACCTCGAGAGTTCGTTGACAATGCATCTGGGATAGCTGTTCGGCTCGAATCCGGAGATCATGCAGCCGAAATGTCCAAGATCTGCTTCCATCTCAGTAAAGCCGCCAATTACGTGTCTAACCCGACTCAGGCTGAGTTTCTTACCAACTGCATCCAGTGCTTCCGCAGTGGCAACTTGGAAGCGTACCGGGCGGCACAGAAGGCCTGGGTCACTGACGTTTCTCCTAGAGTCGAGACAATCCTTGGCTTTGTCGAGCCGTACAGAGATCCTTATGGTGTGAGGGCAGAATGGGAAAGCGCCGTTTGCATTTCTGACCCAGGCGAAACTGACAAGTTGAGGACCCTGGTGGATGACGCTACAAAATTTATTCGTATGCTGCCTTGGGCAATGCCTGGGGTGAACGATGGCAAAGGACCATTTGAGGCAAGCCTATTTCAGGCGCCTGATTTTACTATCGTCCACTGTAAGTATCTCGACGCATTCAGAATACACCTTTCTTGACAACCATACAGCTCTTGCGTTCTGCTCTAGCTATGTCTGGGAAGCAGTCAATCTTCCCAATGTAAGTTAATCAACCTTTGCCGCTGCTAGGACGGAGCTGATAACGTGGTTGATGATAGTATAGCGATATCCGGGAGACATGCGGCTCTAAGAATATTGTCTTCGCCAATCGAATGAGTCTCAACAGCAACCGCCATCGCCCCTGTTATTTTGTGCGCCCCGCAGAAGTCCAAAGCTTCCTAGCATATAATCCCAGTATTCGTTTCATCGTGACCGCTATCCATGAACTTCTGGGACATGGCACTGGAAAATTGCTAACTGAAGTATCTGCGGGGAAGTATAACTTTGACAAGGAGAGTATGCCAATAAATCCCTTAACAGGCCAGCCTGTTGAGACATGGTATCAACCAGGGCAGACTTGGACGAGTGTTTTCGAGAAATTGGCAACCTCAGTTGAAGAGTGCAGGGCAATGCTTGTCTCATACTATCTTGCTGACAATAAAGAAGTTTTATCCGTTTTCGGATACACCGATACGACTGCAATCTCGGCAGAGGACCGTCAGTGCCCGACAGCGATACTCTGTCATTAGCAGTGGATGCTGATGCTATAACAGTAATCTACTACACTTATCTCCATGTTGGCGTGGAAGGCATTCAAGCTTTGCGTACATTCAATGCGCGGGACATGGTTTGGGGCCAACCCCATGCAAGGGTCCGTGTCTACGAGAATCGTACTTGAGGCAAACTGCTAATACTGAACCCAAGGCAAACTTCGCCATCCTGAAACACCTACTACTTGACGGAGGTGGCGTTATAAGCGTAAAGCACGACCAGGAAACTGCGACTGTCGAGGTATCCGTCGACCGTTCCAAAATTTCGTCGCATGGGAGGCCTTCGCTAGGCAGAATGTTGCGGTGCATTCATATTTGGCGATGCATTGCCGATGTCGAGTCGTGCAAGAGTTTCTATGAACCTCTTAGTGTTGTCGATGGCGATTATGAGACTTGGAGACGCATCGTTGTGTCCAAGCCGGAGCCGGGATGGAAGTTTGTGCAGCCAAACACTGTTATCAAGGACGACGGTGGGGTGGAGCTGGTGCTATACAAAGAAAGCAACCAAGGCATCATCCAGTCATTTGTAGATAGGAATCTTTAAGCGCTAGGCCGGGTGCGCTTTGACGCGGAGGGAACTATTACGTGCTTGCCACGCCAAGGCGGCACAGCCATCTAAATGAATTATGCGCTTCGCCATTCAGAGTTGAACGCTCGCTTGTTTTGCGCATTGCTAGTAGTGGTGGGCAGCCTAATCGTCACGTACAGGTACCTAGGTAGGTATCTATGATGGATCATACTTCGCCGCATTTAGATCCACGCGGATATCTAACGGTTGTGTTGGGCTCTGCATGGGCGCAGGCAGTGTAGATTGCTGCGCCGTCGTCATGGTAGGGTAGGGGGTCGGGACCCATATGCAGCCTTGTTGCATCTCTCGTAGCGTCAATCAACCGTCACTCAATTGAATCCGACTGCGGGTCGCCTTCTAGCGGTAATAAAGGTGAAGGAGAGTAAAGTTAGTAAAGTTCATCAGCGTGAAGTGATTGACTTACCTGCAAAAGGTGGGTCCAGCGCCGTCTGTGATTATGATCATGTGAGCGACCTACCTTCCTGCCCACGCCCGCACCTGGGAAAATCTGAGAGGTGGAATATGCAAACAAAACTAGAGCAGAAAGACGCGGCTCCTATCTGTATACGTCAGCCTCATTGCACTCTATTTTGTCCTGTTGCTGGCCTGAAATACCATGAAAAGATTGGGAATCCACATTGTCTATGCGCTGCTGATCTCGGGAATCGCAGCGGTAGCCACCACAGGTTTGATCTTCCACCCCGCCCGACTTCCACCAGCTTTCGCGCTAACAAAATCACTTCAGCCCACAATGTTCCCCGATATTTGGATAGCGGCGAGACCTTCACCACTCAAAGAGACGTTGATGGCTGGGTGGATCCCGAAGACCTAGTCCCGATGCCGCAATGCATCGCGCAGCAAGATCAATCCGCCTGGCTGGGTACCATGACTAAATGCGCTCGTCAGCGATGCACTTCGCAGTTTCCGTTTTTCTGCACACACCACCGCTGGCTGACGGAACTAAGCTGTCTCAGCGTCGAGTTCTCCCCCGACGCTGTCGAGAATTACGTTCCGTACTGTAGCAGATCTATACTCGCCAAGGCACAGCTATATCACTGGATACGGAATGTAACAGGCCGAACCTGGCTCGTCAATGTTGGCGACGCGACCGGGCTGCAGACCCTCTCGCCAGCAAATCTGCCTCAGGGATATGCGAGCACTGGTGTGGTTAGCAAGGCACCAGCATGTCTGTCTCGCTCGCGCGCTTCTCCATCGCTCGAATCGTTCGAGCATGTACTGGCATCTTGCACCTTCACAAGCACAGCGCTGCACACTGGGAACGCTGCTCATCCTTGGGAGTACAGTACTTCGCGACAATCTATGATAGCTCTAAGCTTCGATACCGCCGGATACGACCTTACTGGTAAACATATCCCGTTCAACGAATACTTCGACAGGGAGTGTTTCTGCAGTGCCTTTATTATTGACCAGAGACGCGAACCATGTTTAACGGCGGACCAGTTGGACTTGACCAAGGAGCGGCTATGGCTAAATGCCACGTGTGGCCCGGCGTCACTGCCCAAAAACTGGACGGCATCTCTTAAGATGATGGGATTCAAATACATTCCTTTCGCGGGCTGGCACTGGCCGCAACATGTCACGGATATGCCAAAACAGGTCACGATTTTGACCGAACGCTGCGCCACTGAGGCTTGTCGGCTTGACTCTGATGGCTATTGCGTAGCTGCACCTGCAGTAGACAGGGCTTGCTTCTGCAGTAACATCGATTACAATTCTTGCCAGGCCTCATGTCGCTTTTTCGAGTCGCGCATAGGCTTTGTGAAATGGCTCCACGAACTGTGTGGCCATGTGGACGGCTGGCACGGTCTTCCGACTAATTGGCGGGAGCTGACCACTCCTCTACCTGGCGAGATGATTCCATGGCGATGGTTTGTTAGGCCTAACTACAGTTCAGCCACCTCCACTGTCCTTGACCCGAGATCTGTGGCAGTCGACCAATGCTGGTCGAACGAATGGATACTAGCAAGCATAGCTTTTGTCAATTTCGCAACAATGCTTGCTCCATTCTTCGGCAAAAGACGAGGCTATCGTAGTCTCACGATTAACCCTCCATTGCTTCACCCGTTACTTTGTATGCTGGGAGCTACCCTCTTGGCCAGCCTTCATCTGGTTGCGAACTGGTTCAACGCACATATTATTCAGAGCACCCCTGGCTACGAGACTGTCCCCGTGTTCCAACTGACACTCCTCTGGTGCTCACTGCCTCGGCTGAGCTGGCTCACGATTGCACCGGCTGGAGTTCATCGCCTCCGAGCGACGGAATTTTTCTCATCAGCAGTCTCACTGTTTGCAGAAATGATCCTTCAGTGTTTTGCGCTCTATCACATGTCCTTGACCATCAATTATGGTCGACAGCACAACTTCTACTTTGGTGGCCTAGCGAATACGAAAAGCGGACGGGCTGCCATGCTCATGTATGTTGGAGCATTCGCATGGCTGACCATCATCGTCGTGTCATATGCTCTAGCGATGCGGGCAATACGCAAGCCAAATGGGCCGGGAAGCAACTGCACACCAAGGAGCGCTATGAGACGCGCCAAGGGCGTCTTTGCAACTCTCCTTCCTAAATCATGGCCAACTGCATCAACGCATAGCGCAAGAGAGGAACGGATTACCTATGGAACCTTGCCAACGGAGAGGAAACAATCTGAGCCTTCTGAGCATTGTCAAGGGACGTTTGCTAGCCTGCATTCCGTCATGGCTATCAGTATGCCTTTCATTTGGGTTTCGCAATGGCTTTTCTGGATCGGATTCATTAATCTTAGCTCCAATGAGTACGTGCTCACCCCTCAACCGAACTCTCTGTAAAAAAAGCTAACCCGGCATAGTTTCTGCCTCCCTTCTCTGAGAGTTCTCACAATTGTCTGGGCAGCCTCGTCTATGGGAATTCATTTTCTCTAGTTCTACTTGTAGACGGAGTAAAGACCTGGCTTGGGCATATCGAGTCTGATTGTCAATCATGCCTTAGTCTCATAACAAGATGGAGCCATTCCGAGACCAAAAGATCAATCCCCCACAACCAAGCGTATTCTGGAGTAGCTAGTATAGTTGAAAGACAGAATATGTATATAATTTGTTGCTCTTATTCGTACTCCAGCCTCAGTCGCACTCTAGCTAAAACTGCAAAAGTCATGTCTTATGAAACAGATTGTCAGTAAGAGCTCCGCCGTGGGCATGACCCAAGTCACACAACACGAAACAGAATACTGCTCAATTGTCCAAAGATGCTGCACAAAGGCGGGAACACTGAATATTTTCCTTTTAAAAAAAATGAAAATCGGGTCCAGGCTCTGGTCTCCGAATATCCTACTCTCACTCCGTTAGTTCGCTGTGTGGCTTCTTACGGCTAGGGAAAGGTCTCGCGTTTCAAGTTCCGTGGTGTGGGCTGCCTTGGGCTCTACGGATCGATTGCTGGGCAGGATATGCCAAGGACGGGAAGATAGTAGCTCACTGTAGATCGACGAGATTTGGCAATTTCTCATTTTAGGCTGCTTGCGGATGTACACAGCCCGGCGCAAGGTAATTGCTTCAACAACAACATACCAATGACAGGCGGTCCGGAAGCCGGAGGAGCGATCTCCCATTTACCACAATATATCTGTCAAATGTGCACCAACAACTACAGCCTCGATCAATTAACTACATCTCTGATTCTATCTGCGTCCTGGTAGTCCCAATACACCTCGTCAAAGCAACGATGCAGGTCAAAGGCAGCACTGTTGAGTAGCCCTCATCTCAAAAGAGTCGCCCTTGCCAGCACCGCCTATGAATATGGATCTACTAATTTGTACGGGACATTACGTTGAATTACGCCGCATTCGTGGGGGTGGCGCGGGAAGTGAAACGGAGCCCTGACTAGGAGTGCTGTTACAGAGCCTCTGCAATTCTGCCACTAATACGGAGTATGTCTCGGGGAGTTTTGACGGCGGACCAATGTGCATGGTACTTGGAGAACCTCGTATGGTCGTGTTTTCAGGCTGAATGTATTTTGTTGAAGTGATGAATGCGCGTTTCTTGTGATGCATTTCTTGTGATGCGGCTCTGCGTGGTGAGTGACATGGCCTCGGTCTTCTACAAAGTCTGCGACGAACAAGGTCCGGTGCATATATGTCCCTTTGACTATAGAGAAGGAGAAAGAGTCAAGAGATCCACAGGGGTGAGAGATAGGAAGCCCACCAAGAAGCACGTATCGATCTGCCTCGCAAGGAAGTAGATCCTGGTAGTTGCCTGCGCCACAGTATTTCTGCGATTCTGCAACCCTGTGTACTGACAGGAAGTACCTGCTATTCATGCCACATGTTATATTAAACCCCTGCAAAATATCTGCTCCTTCTCTACAGTCAAAGCATGACTTCTTTCATCCACTGTCTAAGAGGAATAATTCTATAGCAGATTTCCATTGATAGAGAGAGAAAGTAGCTGCCCTGGCTGACTCGCAAGGCATTCGATGCGTATTTAAAAGGTCAACGCTGCCCGCTGATACATTCGAGTCGATACAGAAGCAACACACATTCGCACTACTCAACATCTTTACATTTACTCAACTTTCCCCTTTCTTTTACTTGCCTCACCTTTCAATATGCAGCTGCAGTCCCTCCTCCTCTCTCTCGTCCTCGGCCTGGCGGCAGCCGCACCGCAGGCCGCCAACCAGTCACCCGGCGACGACAATGGATGCGACCAGGGCTCGCCGCTACCCGGCCAGGACGGCACGCTTTGCGTTGGCACCCATGGCGAGAACTTTGGGCCTGCCAGAGCGGTCGCTCCGCCTGCGGCGCCCGGGTCGACGGCCGCATCGGATGCCGCATCGTGGTACGACAAGCCACCAGCAATCTGGAGCAGTTCTGACTAGGCTAACCTGCGAATAGAAGGGCCTGAGACATGCGGGGTGTGGCACAGTCGAGAGACCGGACGGCTGCCTGAAGTGCACTCCTGGTTGCGAGGTAGGCAGCGGTTAAGCCGGGCTCTGAGAACCTCGGGAAACTTTTGCAGGGGTCAAGCTTGTGCTAGTTGACGAGGAGCATTCCCATGGTACCTGTAGCTTCGCCTTAGGACGAACATTTACATTAGCATCTTTAAATAACATGAAAACTAGCTTCAGTGTCTGCTGCTTGCCCATGCTCAGAGTCCATCCTGTGTTGCTTGCGCTCTCGCCTCACACACAGCCCACTTTCCAACAAATGTGTGACAAACTTTGCATGAATTTTTTTACACCTCTTTCTGGCTCTCATTTCGTGACCAAAAACTGCCAACTTGATCGTCGCAGCCAATGCGCCCTGCGCAAAGGACTTGCCATCACGCCGTCTGCGAGTCCCTGGCAGCACGAAAAGTGCGGGTGCATCTGCGGAAACCCATGTTCCCTGTGACGACCAAGTATCTCTGTGTTTACTGAAGCATGGCAGCAGTTAGGGAAACAACTCCTCTGGGAAGATTGTACAGACCTTGCCTGCACCCCACAGGCGCAACCAAGTAACAGGGGGGGGAGAAGTCGGTTGCTGCCTGTTCCTCAGATAAATCACGTACACGTCATTCAATTAGCAGCGGGCGTAGTCTACAGACTGAATTACGTACAGTGCGCAGCCTACAACAAGCCTCGAACTCAGTCCCGAATTAGAACAGCCTGTACTACGGCTAGTATGTGGCGGTATGTGGCTGTTGGTTGGTTGCCGGCGTAAGTCAAGCGCGGTTGGCTCAATAATAAAAAGCACCAGAATCCACCTTACTAGACATTCCTATTTTTAACGGAATTTGACATGGATACCCTTCACGCTGTTAGAAAAGCCAAGACTTGTCACTTTGTAGAGTGCTGCCTGTACTGCGCGGCTGCCTTGTGCCATTCTGCTTGACAGCTGCCTGCGTAAACTGCGAAAAAGTCTGCTGACATCTCGAGGTAGTACTGAGTTGCGATTGTATTCTGTCGTGTTTTACGACTGCCTACGTGCCTATTCGTGCGAATATAAAGATGTCTCCGCCGCCCGCCCAGGACCTGAAAAACTGCTGCAAGCCTCACTCCCATTCTAACGGCTTCACTTCTTCAACAACAAATCTACTCTGAGTCGCCAGCCAGGAGAGCAAGCAAGACGCCAAGCCGCGATGGTGCTGGAGAGCAACACGGTCAAGGGGCCTAAAGCCCTCGATGAGAACAGAAAACTGTCCCCCTTGTGGAGTCTTGCCTCCTCCAAGGATAGCGAGAGAGCCTTTCAAATTTTAGCTCAGACGGAAAATTTCACCATGGATGCGATAGGCGACCGTGGCTTCACGCTGCTATCGCAAGCAGCGAGCGCTGGTTCCGACAAAATCGTTGAGCTACTGTTGAACACGGAACAGTTTGATGTCAACTCGAAAGATGATCAGGGAACAACGCCACTCATCTTCGCGATTCACAGTGGTAAAGCATCGACTGTCAAACTCATATTGGGGACGCGGAAAGCAGACGCCGAGAGGACGGGCAAACTTGGCCAGACATCTCCAGGCTGTACCGCATTGCTCGAAGATGAGATGACTGCCGAGGGGCCGGTTGAAAGCAGGAGAGTCGACGTGAATGCAAGTGACGTCTACATGTCAACGCCACTACATTGGGCTGTCTACTTGCTACAGCCTGATGCGGATGGGATGGAAGTCGAGGCCAGGAACAGTACAGGCTGCAACGCTCTTGCCGGTGCCGTGCAGAATCGCTGCGACATTGTGGAGTTGCTGCTCGCTGAGGAGGGTATTGATGTCAACCTGAAGGATTGTTCAGACAAGACGCCGCTTTCACTGTTGCGCGAGTTGCCAGAATCCCCAGGCAGGAATACCATGGAACAGATGCTATCGGCGGCAGGAGGAGTGGCTGATGTTTTTCCGAGGGAAAACAGCCTGCCGAGGTTGCAGCCGCAGGGGGTTCTGGACGCTACCTTGAAAGCCGTCGCTGCGGCGAAGTTGTCTAGACGGACTTGCCAAAGTTGTCTCTAGACGGACTTTGCTGCTAGAAGAAGACAGGAGAAGGCAGAAGAAGAAGAATCTACTGGGAGCATTTGCGAGCAGATGGAAGAATGAAAATTGCCTTGGTATGAAAATTCACATAAAAATTAAATATACTTGAATTCTGATTGAAATGTCCAGGGGAGAGGCTCCCTGGCTAGGACAACTGGCTTGGTTTGTGTCGAGAATATACATGGGATTTCTTAAAGTGCCATGGGGGCCTGGTGTTGGTGTTGTGTGCGAGGACGAGCGGCGGCGGCGGCGCACTATTAATTAATTGCCTTCCCACGGCTTAGTAACAGGTACCAAAAAAAAAGGGCTGGACAAGATCTAGGAAGGTCTAGTTCTGCTCTGTGGTGGGAAACGCAGGCGTTCGCGGAAGACGACTCTGATCCAGACAGGCAGGGATAAGATCGGGACATTGGCCGTTACGTGTGACGGCGTAGGTGTTGCCAGCCCATTGATGGACAGGCGCAAATATTCCATGGCCCAGTGGCGGAAGTGGACAGTGAGGATATGGGTTGTTTATGATCCGTAGCTGCTATTTTGGCCGTATGATATGATATCTGAGTAGTACTGTTTGCACACGTAGCCGTGCTGTGTCGCTGTGGTCTAGCATGCGGAAGTGATTGGTTTCGAGGCCTTCGTAGGACAGGAATGGGACTTCCCGACCGTGTCGTGATCAAAATGATGGACGATGAAGGCAAGAAATTATGCCTATGCACCTTTATAGCATGATTAGGATAGACAGCAAATGGGAATAGTTACGTCGTGTGCCGGCGGAAGCACCGTTGTATAAAGGGTAATATTAAAAATAAAGTAAGATAAGAAAAATAAAGGATATTAGAAAGATAAGAAAGATAAGAAAGATAAGGAGAATAAGAAAGATAAAGAAGTGAAGAAATATAAAGAAAATAAGGAAGATAGAGAGTAGTATCCGGTCAATTTTTTTAGGTGCTGAAAAGCTAGTAGTACAAAATCCAACATGATTTGGGCCAACGAGGGCCCTGTACGCAGTAATTACTCCTCGCCTCCCCCGCCCGCCCTTCCAAAAAACGAAATCATGGTTCACCAGTACGCTGCTGCTCATCATCTTCGCCAACCATCATGGTTTGCAAAGGCTCACCAGCGGCCCCAGCAATGAGGGAAAGTGTACCAACGCTCTTGGAGGTGCTCTCCATCTCAAGCTCCGGAATCCAGTTTTCAGGATTCAGAGGAAAGGGCAGTGGCGGAGGCGGGGCGAGTAGCTCAATCTGCCCACCGCCGCCAGTATCCGTAGCCTTGCCCAAGTCCACAGTCGTGCGGGAGCTTGGAGGCTTGACGCGACTCCAGAGGCTCGATCCCTGGCTGCTGTCTTCCGACGAGTCCCCCGAAGAACGACTGCGGCGAAACATGGCAGAGGTGAAGGGGAAATTGCCCGACAAGGATGGGACTGGGCTCCAACGGCGCCTGCTGCCAGTTGACTTGTCGCCAGCGCTGTCCTCGGAGGTCTCCTGGCAATGTGTGCGGAGGGGCAGGGCTGATGCGGGAAGAGGTTCCAGGGCCGGAGCGGGAGGAGGTGGTTCTAGGGCTGGAGAAGGTTCCTTTGCCACCGCCGGGTTCTCCTAGAACGACGGACGGCGGATACCTCCAACCGGCGGACCAAAACACTCGTCGAGAATGGCCTGATGGTTTTCAAACTCATCCCAAAAGCCATTAGTCTCTGCGCTGTCGTGGAATTCATCGTCGCTTCTAGGATCACCATCTGGGATCCCAGCGGCTCCCGCTAAAAACAGGATCATCCGCATGGCCCAGCTCATGCCAAGGCAATCGTACATCTTTTGAGCGTCCTCTAACGAGACTTGCTGAATGCTGACCAAGGTTCCGTCAGGGATACGTGCGTCCGATTCCTTATTATGGGCGCCGAATTTCTTCTTGTTGAGTTGATATTCGGGCCTCACAGTCTGCATCATGCGCAAGGTTTCATCGGTCGGCACCACCACGTGGCAACATTGAAGTTCGGTCCTCAAAAGCCAGTGAATGCCAAACTGGACATGGAAAACCTCGCCGCCTTCTTCAAGTATGGTCTTGGTAATTCTTTCTGGGCGAAACCCGATCAACCCCATATCGAAAAGCCGATGCAAATAGGGTTCGAGGGTCAGCATGTTCCACATCTGATCCGAAGCGCCTCTAGAACCCACAAGCTCGGTGAGTCTATTTGCAAAAGTCCCGCCGAACATGGTGGTCAAATGGGGGACTATCATGCTGAAAAACGAGACGTGATCTTCGGCGGCGTTTATGGCATGGGGCAGGATGTGTGCTCCGTCAACGGCTACCCTGGCGTGGGTGAAAATGCACTGAAGCCCATCGCGTTTCTTGGTCTGGTCACGAGTGGTTAGCATGGCGTGTTTTAGAAGGCAATCACTTCTGTTATTTACCTTGATGGCCACCGTCTTGTTACGGTCCCTGGGTCTGGTGCTTGGCCTGCGTGCTGCGGGCCCCGGGGCTTCGTTGTCTGCTCCGGTGAGCGTGTCGTCCCGAGCTCGCTTTTGGGGCACGGAAGATCGATGAAGTCTACCCCGCATGAATCTGAAGGTGCGGCTCGCGATATTCTCTCTGGCATTGCTGCCGGCGGGCTCCTGAGACACTGCAGGCTCGGGATCTGTGGCCTTTGAGGTCACAGCCTCAGCACTCTCAGAGTCGGCGGCGCCGGCGGCTTGTTTAGGAATGGACCCTGTTACAACTGGAAGAATGAGGTCAGACATAAGCTTGGATTGCCGCCATCAAGAACAGGTACTCACAGTAGTTTGCGACGGACTGGATAGTGTCCCCCACTGCACGCAATTTGGCCTGATCGTGACTGACGGTGTCTATTGCCTCGGGACCCAAGATGGAAAACGCAGCCAGATGAATAGCCCCAAACACACGAGGTGTCTCGAAAGGCTGCATCTGGGATTCATACGACTGGCTCAAGCCATTTAGGATTGCAGCTTTGCCTGTAAAATAGCCGGGTGGCATGTCTTGAGGCGCCAGCGGACAAACGGTTAGCGAGGATTGCCAGGACACATGATGATGCTCCGGCTTTGTCTCTGCCTTGTATTCCGGCTCTGTCTCTGCCTTGCGTTCCGGCTCTGTCGTTGCCTGTTGTTGCGGCTCTGTCGCTGCCGTATGTTCCGGCTCCATCGCTGTTGGTGGATGGCGAAAGAGGGGATAGTAGTTTGATAGGTAATGGATCAAGGCAATGTAGCGCAGCCGAGAAAGATGATGAAGCCAGAATTGCGTCTGCCAAATATAAAACAGAATAGGAAATGGTAGGTAGAATGGGAAATGGTTGGAAAAAGGTTGCTGTGGTCAAGGTGAGGGCCATCTGAGTTTTTGCTGTGGGTTGCTGCCTGTCTTGTTTGAACAGCAAACGGACGTGAAAATTTTTCTAGGCGTCGTTTGATTCTAGAAAGTACACTCTAATAGTACATAGCCGACGTATGTAAAGTATAATAACAAACACAAGGCTAAAAGTATACTAAAACCTGCTGATACAAAGTAGGCCGTATAAAGAACAATATAAGTAGGTACTGACTATTGCAGAATAAACCCAAGGTGTTGTAGTAGTAGTTAGGTACCTACCTAGGTATTCAGGTACTAAGCCGTGGGAAGGCAATTAATTTGTGGTGCGCCGCCGCCGCCGCTCGTCCTCACACAAACCCCGAGTATATTCTCCCATTTCCTCAATTCCTAGAGGAGGAATTCGAGGGGTGCCAAAAGAGTGTGCCTCTAGTGCTATATGCCACTACCGCCACGGGAATTCCACACCCCTCGACGCCGTCATTTTCTCGCGTTTTTGACATACTGTCATGACTATAAAGACGAATAAATTGCATAAACGTAAACCTAATATCAAATTGTTTTCCATACCGATTCATTCCCTGTCTGACAGGATTCGCTTAGATAGGTAGAGAGAAATAGCACAGTCATACCGCTGCCCATCGTCGCCGACCAACAAGACACAGTAACAACATTCCGTCTGTAGCAACAAAAACAACACCAGAGTCCATTCTGCAGCACAAACGACACACACTAGTATCTAAAAGCACAAAGACAGAAAATCTGTATAGTGAAAGCGCAAGCGACACCGCCCGTAACTGGCTCTTTTGGCTCGTTTGGTTTCATCTCGTCGTCCGAGTCAAGCCACCACTAGGCTCGGTCCGTCAAGCCCACTGGTGCTCCAGGGCTGAGGATGGCACCTGGTCCAAGATTGAGTACCCGCGAATGTAAGCATCCTATGCCTTTCCGGCCCTCTTCCATTTATAGTAGCAGAAACAGTCCTTACTGCACAGCTCTAATGAAAAATTGCAAAACTGTCTGCAAACCGAGAAATACTGGTGGGTTTGTTACTTCGCTGACAAAGGCGGCTGGTTGAACAGGAACAGAATACAAGCTCGAGTTTGTCATGTACCATGAGTTAACTACCACTACGTTTTGGCCATGTCTAACGGGTTCATGATCAACTTGACAAGCCACAAATCAAAATGCTTGTTACTTCGCTGACAAAGGCTTCGGTTATTGTGCCGATTAAGCTCATCATGCTGCTCCAGGGTAGGCTGCTCACTCTATCCCATTAATTTTCGTCAGGGGTGCGAGCCAATCAGCGCACGGCAGGCCAGCTTAGCAACTCGAGACCGCGTCAACCTCTGATTGGTCGCAAGTAAATTTCCACATCAACTTTTTGATGCCGCCTCTTCAACTTTTTGCCAAAATTTCATCCAGTCCCTGATTTTACTAATAAATCATCTTTTTAAACTCGGGAGATAATCTATTGCCCCTCAATGACATAACACCAATTTCTTACCGTCCCTAGTCACCCGCTCATGCGGTCCTCCCTCCAGCGCCTCCCTCTTCTTCTTCGCACTCATCGAGCACCACCACTCATCACAGCATCTCATCGCTTCCTCGTCATGTCGTCCGTCGCCGCTGCCGCCGCAGCACCGGCCGAGGTGCCAGCCGCCCCTCACAGCGCGCCCGCCAAAGGCACTTCTCACAGCAGCCGTCCCGCAAAGCGCCCCAACAACGCCAACCGCAACGGCCCTAGCCGCAAGGCCAAGCAGCAGCGCACCAAGCGCGAGCGCAACATCACCGAGGGGTCGACCGAGGAGGTCCTCCGCTGCGACATTGACGCGCTCCTCAAGTCCCGCCGCGCGGCCGCCAGCGAAGACGACGACGCCGCCGCCACCGCCCCGGCCGCGGACGACGCTGACCTGCCGGCGCCCTTTACCGAAATGGACGTCGACATCCACGAGCTGTCCTCGACCGGCGACGGCCTCGGCATGGTCGCCGGCTCCGAGCACGTGTACGTGGTGCCATTTACCGTCCCCGGTGACACGGCGCGCGTCCGGGTCATCCGGCACGTCCCCGGCGAGGGCCACTCGCACGCCGACTTCGTCGCCACCGTGACGCCCTCGCCGCTGCGCGACGACGCCCGCGTGCGCTGCCCGTACTTTGCCCGCTGCGGCGGCTGCCAGTTCCAGATGCTCGACTACGCCGAGCAGCTGCGCCGCAAACGCCGCATCCTCGTCAAGGCCTACGCCCACTTTGCCAACCTCGCCCCGGCCCTCATCCCGCCCGTCGGCGACACCATCGGCAGCCCGCTCCAGTACGGCTACCGTACCAAGCTCACGCCGCACTTTGACGGCCCGCCCGGGTTTAGGCGCGGCAAGACGCCCGGCGCCGGGTTCGCGGCCTGCCCCGATATTGGCTTCATGCAAAAGGGACGCCGCAAGGTCCTGGATATCGAAGACTGCCCGATTGGCACTGAGGCGGTGGGCGCGGGCAACACGCGCGAGCGCAAGCGCATGCAGGACGAGTATACAAACTACAAACGAGGCGCGACGCTGCTGCTGCGCGAAAACACGACCCGGCACCCTAAAGACAGCGAAGCGGCCAAGGCAGAGCTCGCGCCGTATACGGTGCGGTCCGAGTCGGGCGACTTTGTCGACATCAAGTCGTGCGAGACCGACTCCAAAGCCACGACGACCGAGTACATTGGCGACTACATTTTCACCAACCCGGCGGGCTCGTTTTTCCAAAACAACAACTCCATCCTGCCCGTCTTCACCTCGTACGTGCGCGACCGCATCCTGCCGCGCGCCACCGCCGCCTCGCCCATCAAGTACCTCATCGACGCCTACTCGGGCTCCGGCCTCTTCACAATCACCCTGTCCTCCGTCTTCCAGCACTCGACCGGCATCGACATTGCCGGCGCCTCCATCGAGTACGCGCGGCGCAACGCCGCCCTCAACGGGCTCGGCGAGGACCGCTGCCGCTTCATCGCCGCCGACGCCGGCGAGCTCTTCTGCTCGGTCACGTACGACGCCGACGAGACCGTCGTCGTGCTCGACCCCCCGCGCAAGGGCTGCGATGCCAGCTTCCTGGCGCAGCTGCGCCGCTTTGGCCCCCGCCGCGTGCTCTACGTCAGCTGCAACGTGCACACACAGGCGCGCGACGTCGGCGTCTTGGTCCGCGGCGAGGGCGACGGCCGCCGCTACGCGATTGAGAGCCTGGTCGGTTTTGACTTTTTCCCGCAGACGGGCCATGTGGAAGGCGTGGCCATTTTGAATCGAGTGGAGGAATGATCCTAGCGAATGAAAAAGCATCATGTGAATGAAAAAGCATCATGTGTATTACGTATCATATCTGTACATTTTTGGCTATTGCGGTCAGCGTTCAACGCGAACCAATTCCTTTGGCCAGGAAAGAGTGCCGACGGAAGCTACATGGGTTCAAGCAATAACAGCCAAGGGGCAGCATTTTCTCATTCATACTTGATATCCCAGTTGTAAAATATCATAGCAGTAAATCATAAAGCAAGGAGCTACGTCATCAGAGTTCCCAAACGCCAAATTTCAACCGGTTTATCGCTAACATATGCATAGCGTCAGATTCCCTCCCTCTATCCCCCACACATACTCTCGCAACAACAGTTTCCGAGAGCCTTAGTCCACTTCAGTTACTTCAGTCAGTTGTTTCTCCACTAGCGGCTTTAGTGCCTGCACAGCCGCCTGTACTACCTCTGGCCGCCTGCTCTTCTTGAGGCACGTCTTGAGGATATCGACACCGCCCTCTTCGCGAATCTTGTCGCGCGCGTCGCTGCCAATGACACCCTTGGCCAGCACCATGTTCAGGATGCTGGCGGCGCCGCGGTGGCGCAGGTCATCACTGTCGTCGACGCAGAGGCCGAGGAGAACGGCGACGCCGCGTTTGCGGTGGACGACGGCACGCACAACCTGCTCGTAGGCGGTCAAGGCGGCGAGGGCTCCGCCGGCGGCGCTGCGAGTGCCCTCGTCCTCCGCGTCAGCGAGGGCGAGCAGAATGTGCAGGCGCTGGGCGGCGTGTGCGCTGCCGTCGGCGTACAGGGCGATGCCGTCGGGCGACTGCGTCAGGTTGCAAACGAGCTCGACGGCCGCCTTGGCGACGAGCCGGTTCGACGCGAGCAGCTGCTCCTCAATGTGGGACCAGGCGTGGCGGATGATTTGGTGCGCAATGCCCGTGTCGCCCTCCATGGACGCCAGGTTGGTCAGCGCCATGAGGGCCTCAAAGGTCGGGAGCAGGTCGCGGCGGTCCGAGGCCGGGTCGGTCGGCAGGATGGAGATAAGTGGCGCAATGGCCGCGTCAATGGGGTTCGCCCTCGTGCCGCCAAAGACGAGTGCGGGGTTGATACTGATGAGGATGCGCGAGAGGGCCTGCGCAGCGCTGCGTCGTGCATCGCCCTGCTCTTCCTTGAGACTGTTCCAGGCAATAAGAAGAAGTGGTACGGCACCTTGTTGGGCTAGCTGCCCGCGGATACTCTTAATAGATGTGAGTGAGAGGAGAATGTTGGCAATGATGCCGAGGGCGGCGGCAGAATCGTGCTTGCCATGGGCAACAAGCACGGGGGTGATGCCGGCCGCAAAGACAGCCGCGCATCGCTTCTCGACATGCTCATCATCATCTAGTGGGTCCATTGCCGGCAGCTTGCCCTCTGCATTGGCGTAGGCTTGCAGCTGTGACATTTTCTTCTCATCTTCGGTGAAAGGCGGGCGGTACCGTGTTAGATTTTGAAAGATGCTCAAGGCACCGTATGTGGTCGGTGAACGGGGTGGCGCGCTGGAGAGTGTTTCGAGCAGCTTCTTGAGAAGCAGATCGTTGCTGACAATGACCTTTTTGATTTGCGGTTGCAGAGACGCATATGCCAGTCCTTCAATGGCGTGTTGCTTGCCGTGGTCCTCATTGCGGACAATCATCTTGATGAACAGGCCAGCGAGGTCAAATAACGACGTGACAGCGGACTCAACGCGGGGCGCATTCGGGCCGGACGGCTTGGGAACAGCCTGTACTATGTGTTAGTGATTGATCGTATTGCGCGTCCGCATGCTTGTGGCTTACCCGGAGTTTGGCCAAGATGACGGCTGCAAGATATTGCACTTGCTCTGAATGTTGTCTCATCGAGACGGAGCCTTCTTCTCCTTGTAAGTTCGGGTCTTCGCTTAATCTCTTCCCCATATCCATAGTATACTGTTCCACAATCTCCTCGAGCCAGTCGACGCAGTACTTTTGAATGGCCTCCCGACAGCGTCCGTCCATGCACGCGGCGTTGAGCATCTCCAGACACGCCGTCTCGACCTTGCGGCTCTTCCACTCCCTGCGAATCAGCGGCCCCAGCGAGCTCAGGAAGCCCTCGTTCAGAAACATTTCCGTCGTCAGGTCGGGGACAATGGGGAAGGCGGCGGCGGCGACGCAAAAGGCGACAATGTAGTCGTCGTAGGTGCGGCGCTGAATGCGATCAAGGAAGAAGGCACGCAGCTTGTCCGAGGCGTCGTCGGCAGCGGCCCGCATGTAGGCCGAGGTGGTGAGCACAGCGTGGCCGCGCACCAGGTCCGGCTGGCGCATGTCGAGGTAGCAGAGGATGGTGTCGACGCAGTCAGAGTCGATGACGCGACAGATGGAGCGGTGGTGCGCCGGATCGGCCGCGCGGGCGGCCGCGTCGTCGTCGAGCATCTTGGTGAGCAGATCCAGGTCCCGGCATGTCTCCTCGTCCTCTTGGCCGCCCTCCATGAGGCGCGCAAAGACAAGAAGCGTCTGGTCCTGGACGGAAGCCGCAGGGCCTGACGCCTGGATGGTCTCCGCGGCGGTGGCCATGATGGGCGAGAGTCTGCAGGCGTTGGAGATGAAGATCCAAGCTGTTTGGCAGGTCAAGCTGGCATCGGCGATGAAATGAGGGATGGAGGGTTGAAACGTCCACGTCGTATGATAGTGTTTGGGGAATGGAGAAGAATAATTAGGCGAGTGCCCCTCCAAAGGCTCTTAGATAAGAGTAAGCTTGTCGTTATCTTCTGCATCTACCCCACTTTCCAAAGTTTGACATTTACAGTGGCTTTTCAGCGAGTTTCTGGAGGAGCATCACGTGGATTGGTGCCTGTGAACGAGAGCTTCATAGAGTTCCACCACAAGCCTTGCCGTGTCTCGTCTGCAAACAGAATCTGCCATGTTCAACAATTTCATCAACGACACGATTCTGCCCTCTACGTTGCATATTTCAGACTTCAACTCCCACTCCGCATAGCAATATTTCCATATTTACTTCCATTCCGCCGAATCATCCCGACGTCATCGAATCACAGCCTACATTTCTCGACATCCACCTGACCATCGTCAATGCGACTTAGACTACCACTCTACTCGACCTGCATGCATAATCACATATAATACGCGTCAAACCCCAGACTTGCCTCTCTACGCGACCTCGTAGATCGCTCCTCTCCACCCCATCGCGGCGCCCTCCCTCCCACTCCCCTCGTCATGGACGCCGTCGATTACTCGGAGCACTACGAGGTCACGACAGCCGACGAGACGCCGTCGTTGCTCTCCGTCATCATCGACACGAACCCACGCGCCTGGGCCGTCCTCGACGACGGCTCCCTCCCCCTCTCCCTCACCGCCGCCGTCGCCAACCTACTCCTCTTCATCAACGCCCACCTCGCCTTTAGCGGCGCTAACCAGGTGGCCGTCATCGCCGCCCACGTCAACCGCGCCGTGTGGCTGTACCCATCCTCCCACTCTCCGAAACCTATACAAGACAACACCAGCGCCGATGGCGACGTCGCCATGGCTGATGCGCCCGCCGCCGCCACGACACCGTCCTCGGCAAACAAATACCCGCAGTTTGCCCAGATCGAGGCCACGGTGCTCGGCTCGCTCAAGAAACTCATGGCCGAGACGACGGAGCGGGACCTTGACAGCACGACGACGCAGCTGTCTGGCGCGCTGACGCTCGCGCTCTGCCACACCAACAAGGCCTCGCGGGCCCTCGGCGCCTCCGACACCGCCATCCACGAAGCCGCGCAGACGAGCGGCACGACGCCGCCCTCGCCGATGAAGGGCCGCATCCTTGTCCTCTCCGTCTCCGACTCGGAATCCTCGCAGTACATCCCGACCATGAACGCCGTCTTCGCCGCCGCCCACGGCCGCGTCGCCATTGATGCCCTCGCCCTCGCCGGCGACGCCACGTTTCTTCAGCAGGCCTGCTTCAACACGGGCGGCGTCTTCCTCCGCGCTGCCAACCCCCAGGGCCTGCTCGCCTACCTCATGTTTGGCCTCGTCGCCGACACCGAGGCCCGCGAGGCTCTCGTCGCTCCCACGCACGACACCGTCGACTTTCGCGCCGCCTGCTTCTGCCACGGCAACGTCGTCGACACCGGCTTCGTCTGCTCCATCTGCCTCTCCATCTTTTGCGAGCTGCCCGACAATGCTGAGTGCTTCACCTGCGGCACGAAACTGGCCCTCGGGAGCTACGGCGCTAAGCCCGCCGTGATTCCGCGGAAGAAGAAGAAGAAGAAGAAGATCATCAACGGCAGCGGGCGGGAGGAGACGATGAGTGCCACTGGAACGCCGCTGAGATGAGTCTCCGCAACAAGGACGCATTGTATGATACTTACAAGGGCCAACAGCCCAACCAAAACACGACACCAGAGAGGTACACAACAGTACTCTGGGTCACTGTGTATAGAATAGAAAAGACACCAGGCGATTTGAATCTTATACAATTTTTATTGTTTTTCTATCTGTTCATGAGGTGCAGTTTCTAGGGTTTGCGAGTATGAGGTGCTCCGAGGTGCCTACTTTGTGGAAATCTTGCGAGAGCCTTGGGCAATCTTACTGCCCTCCGGCAGGCGAGACATGACGCAGGTTGGGGTAGGATCTTTGCCGCCCATGGATGCAAGGGCAAACGAGTCCGTGTTATGCGCGAATTGAAGATAGTACCCTGCCCGTGTCTTCTTCACGGCCATGATGCCAATGGCGCCGGCTGATGGCCCATTGCAGACGCCGGGATGGCCCATGAAATCATTGGCAATAAATGACTCCATTATGGCGCTTTCATCGTAGTCATGTATGTCGGTACCGGCGGGGCCTTTGCGGGTGCTGTTGTACAACCGTTCTGCACAACGCTGCGAAGCCATTGTCGTCGCCATGTGCTCGCCTGTGCCACTGGTGACAGCAGCCACAGATACCGCATCCTCGTCGTCAGGCTGACATGGCACAACAGCAGTCCCGACCCCAACCAAGGCAGCAGGGCCAAGCCGCCCACGATGCTTCATTCCAATGCCTCCAGATGAAGAGCCAGCCGCAATTAGTCCCTCCTCGTCAATAGCTATAGCCCCAATCGTGTCGGTTACGTAGTCTCCGCCATGTTCGGAGACACATTGTTGCTTATTCAACGTATCCTCGCTGTCATAGTTGCCATCCAGTAGTCGCTTTTGTGCCTTCCGACGCCTTCTTGGCTGCTGCCATGGTGCGTCGTCGTTGGCAGAGCTGATTCCAGTAAGATTGGACCCTTTTGGACGGACGCCAAAATCGTCGTTTTCGCCATCATTGACATGGCCTTGGGTTGGTTTTAGCAAGCCGCTATGCTTGTTGCTTGGGTTGATTCCATGCTGCGGGGTTTTCCAAGACGGGTTCTTGGTATGATTCCAGGCATTCGGTGTGATGCCCAATGTTGTCAGCTCAGCTTGCTGGGCATCATCTATGCCTGGGGGCGGCAAGTAGGGCGAGTTAGGCTGGCCTTCATTCCATGTTCCTGACATTATGGCAGCGGCATGGTCTCGCGGAAACGACATATTTGGCTTTATGGGAAGAGTGTCGTACTGGCATGGCGCACAGTGCATAGCTGCTGTATTCTTTTGCGCGCTGCTAGCCTCCTTTGCTTTGGCTTCGGCTCTGACTAAATCGTCCTGCCAGCGCAAGAAGCGATCCCTAGAGTTTTTGGAGACCAGATAGTCATTCGCAAAAGTGGCCATGCCGTGCTCTTCTGCGAAAAGTTTAGCGCCTTCTCCGACAAGGGCATTGGGCGGGACTCGTCTGAGGCTCAGCGGTCGCTTGCTCCCGTCGAAGATGAGTTTGGCGAGAGAAATGGGATTTCGAATGTCTATCAGTGTGAGTTGAAGGCTGCAAGGCTGTAGCACAGGATGGACTTACTCGGAACGGCACCACATGCGCCACTGCGGCCCAGGTGATCAACAATGGTTGCATCACATTCAACCGTTCCGTCAATGGAGAGGTTGGATCCGTAGCCCGCGTTGGTGATTTCTTTGTCTTCTAGGACGCGCAGCGAGGCTTCGACGGCTTCGGTAGCACTGGCGCCAGCTTTGAGAAATCGCATTCCCATCTCGGCCGCCCTATGACGGATTTGTTAAAAATCGGTGGTGGGTGCGTGTGGCCGCGGCTAGACTTACGCAACACAGGCTCGGAGGTGGACATCCTCATTTTGGTGGCTGTGGAAGCCGGCGCCGGCATGGAGGAAGATGGCGGGGATGCATCGTTTTCGTTGCTTTTGTCCCAGAACACGATCCAAGGCCCCGTCTATGTGGCAGATTTCAGGCTGCGTCGACAAGCGCACTTGCTGCCGACAGCCAGCCATGTCCGGCTAGGCTAGCGATTGACGAGTTCCATGCACATAGGCGGAGCAGGTAATGATGCTGGGTAACAAATGCTTTGATTTAGGTTTCGGTGGTGATGGTATTTGGATATGTTGCAGCAGTCCGTATGCGATGGCGGATGCTAACAATCAGGGCGTGTTGGAGATGAGAGAAGGAAGTGTTGCAGCGCTGAACTCGGCACCGCTACTGACAAGCACGTGTTGAAGGCAGTATGGGAAGGAGCACGCTATTCGTATCGAGAACCGGTGGCGAGGAATGTTTGCGGGGTCGAACTGGGTTTTGATGTCGTTAGAGATGCCTGCTGATGATGCTTATGTAGGTAGGAAACAAGTCTTGCCGGGTTCGGACTATTATGAGCTGGACTCAACACAGTGAGTGAGTGGGGTGGACATGACGAGCGGCAACGGTGATGATGGAGATATTACCAGCAACGAGGAAATTGCACGATTTCTATTCGTGTATCTTGATGAAAATTTATTCTTTTATCAATCTGCCTTTATTAGTCACGTCTATTCCAAGGATTGGGGAGACGATAACGCGGCGTGCTCCGCCAGCTGCTAGAACCAACACCACCATGTTACCTTGAAAAGCGCATTTCGCTGATAAAGTAGTCGATGTACTAAATCTTGCACATGCCATCCATTTATTTCCTGTGTATCTCGATAGCATGTATAAACACCACTTCCCACCAACGGTGATACACGTGATGGGTGGGGTCGTGATGACAGCCCACCAACTCCTCTGAAAGCTACGCAAGCTCCGTCTCCTCAGCCATCCAGTTCACCCCACATTGCGTCGCTCTCGCAACACCACGTCTACTCGACTCCCGGCGCCAATTCTCTCGCTATAGACCTCGCCGCACACGGCTCTCACTCACCATGGCGAACCACACTCCTGCCGTTGTCATGGACAAGTGCGTCGATTGCCCCGCCCCATCGTCTTCCCCCAACCTTCATGGCTAACGAATAGCAACGCAACAGCGGCACGGGCTTTTCCAAGCTTGGTAATCCGGCTCCCCGGTTCGACGCGCGCTATCCGCTTTTGATGCTAATATGATGCTTCTCAGGTTTTGCGGGCAATGACTCCCCGTCCTTTGTCTTCCCAACTGCCATTGCAACCAAAGGCCCCGGTGCTGGAGGCGGCGGCTCCGGCTCTGGACGTCCCGCCGTCGGCAACAAGCCCTCCTTCCTCACTGGAGGCGCTGGACCTGCCAGCAACCATTTGAGCTCCAAGCGCGGCACCGAAGACCTCGACTTTTTCATTGGCGATGAGGCAATTAGCGCTGCTGCCGGTCCTGGTAAGCCACATTGGACGCGCAACCTGAGCAACAGCTAATCCTTCAGGGTACGGTCTCCATTACCCTATTCGCCATGGACAGATTGAGAACTGGGTATGATTCGCAAACTCATAAGCGCAAACTATGCTCTAATACCAGCAGGACCACATGGAACGCTTCTGGTCCAACTCCATCTTCAAATATCTGCGCGTCGAGCCCGAGGACCACTACTTCCTCCTCACCGAGCCCGTCAGTCTATGCAGCCTGCGATTAGCGAATTGCACTAACGCCTAGCAGCCTCTGAATCCTCCCGAAAACCGAGAAAATACCGCCGAAATCTTCTTCGAGTCGTTCAACTGCGCTGGCATGTACATTGCCGTCCAGGCCGTCCTCGCCCTTGCCGCATCGTGGACGTCGTCCAAGGTGACAGACCGATCGCTCACTGGCACGGTCATCGACTCTGGTGATGGTGTCACTCATGTAATCCCCGTCGCCGAAGGATACGTCATCGGCTCATCGATCAAGTCGATTCCCATTGCCGGCCGAGACATTACTTATTTCGTGCAGTCGCTGCTGCGAGACCGCGGTGAGGCCGATTCGTCTCTCAAGACTGCTCAGGAGATCAAGGAGTCGCACTGCTACGTCTGTCCTGATATTGTCAAGGAGTTTGCCAAGTACGACCGCGATCGTAGTCGCTTCTTGAAGCACACTGTGTCACTTCCCGGTGGTCGCCAAGTCAGCGTCGATGTCGGTTATGAGCGCTTCTTGGCCCCGGAAATTTTCTTCAACCCCGAAATTTACAGCTCCGACTTCCTCACTCCTCTCCCCGTTGTTGTCGATGGCGTCATTCAGCAGTCGCCCATTGACGTGCGCCGTGGTCTGTACAAGAACATTGTCTTGTCTGGTGGTAGCACATTGTATAAGGACTTTGGAAGACGTTTACAAAGAGACATCAAGCTTCTCGTGGACGATCGCATTCGTGCCAGCGAGCTCCGTAGCGGTGGTGCTCGCAGTGGTGGTCTCGAAGTACAGGTCATTTCCCACAAGCGTCAACGCCACGGTCCCTGGTTTGGAGGCAGTCTGCTTGGTCAAACGCCAGAGTTCCGCTCATACTGCCACACCAAGGCCGAAGTAAGGATTCCTGTACGATATTTCCGGACAATACTAACGCAACATAGTACCAAGAATACGGACCCGGCATTGTGCGCAGATTCCAGCTTCTCGGTGGCCCTGGTGGCTCTTAGATGCACATTAAAGTCTTTTTTCGGCCAACATGTGCTTAATCATATGCCAGTGACAGGATTATGCTAGACTTTCGGTTTGTCGAGGAGAGGTGAAAAAGGTGACGTTGCGGCGGCAAGGTCGTAAATGATGACGTGGCCACGGTCTTTAAAGATGTCAATTACCAATTCAAAATCAATTCTCTACACCCGTCAACCGAGCAGCACTGTATCGCAGTGCGGCGCAGAAACTGATCATTTTGGGAGAATTCCCGCTCAGGGTAGTAAAAGCGCTAAATTCATGATTGATACTAATAAATCAGACTTATAAAATAAAAATGCTGGGCACTATAACAACCGCAATCAACCAACACGGCCTTGCCGCTTACACCACTACGCCGTCAACATCAACCCGCTTCGCCATGCTCCCAACTCGACTTTTTATCACAAATTGTACATTTGCCGCATGCATCCCACTAGCGGCTCATGTCCAGCACATAACGGCCAGTAATCTTGCCGGCCCGCATCAGGTCATACACGGTCGGCAGCTCGCTCAGGCCGACCGTCTTGAACGGCACCTTGATGAGGCCCAGGCGGAAAAACTCAATGGCCTCGGCCGAGTCGAGGCGGTTGCCGACGTAGCTGCCGCGGATCTGGATCATGCGGAGCACGGTGTCGAAGACGGGCGCCTTGAAGTGCGCGTCGGCCGGCAGCCCGATGCAGACGACGACGCCACGCGAGCGCACATACTGTGTCGCCTGCTGAAACGGCTTCTCCTCCACGGCGACGAGCAAGGCGGCGTGCGCGCCGAGGCCGCCCGGGGTCAGGGCCTTGACGTCGGCGACGAGGTCCTTGGACGTCATAAAGTCGACAAAGTCGCACCCGTAGCTCTGGACGAGCGCCTGCTTGTCGGCGCCGGTGTCGACGCCGATGACGCGCAGGCCCATGGCGCGGGCGTACTGGCACGCGAGCGAGCCGAGGCCGCCGCCGGCGCCAGCGACGACGACGGACTGGCCGGCCTTGGCGCCCGACTCCTTGAGGCCCTTGTAGACGGTGATGCCGGCGCACAGGATGGGGGCGACAGCCTCGAGGTCGCACTCTTTCGGGATGCGCGCGACGTGCGCGGCCTTGGCGATGCAGTACTGCTGAAAGGTGCCGTCGACCGTGTACCCGGACAGGGTCGGGTTGTTGCTGCAGAGCGGCTCGTCGGCGGCCTGGCAGTAGGTGCAGGCGAGACAGGAGCCGTTGAGCCACTTGACGCCGACGTGGTCGCCGAGGGCGAGGTCGGGCGGCACGAGGGCGCCGCGGGCGACGACGACGCCCGCGCCCTCGTGTCCGCCGACGAGCGGCATCTTGGTCGGGATCGGCCAGTCGCCCATCATGGCGTGCAGGTCCGTGTGGCACACGCCGCTGTACTTGATCTGCACCAGCACCTCGTCCGGTCCGGGCTGCGCGACGGGGATTTTCTTATACACGAGAGCTGCAGATGAGAGGTTAGTGTGGGTGCGGATGGGTGAGATGAGGGGAGTACGCACGTCCACCGATGGCCTCGACGACTTGGGCCATTTGCTCAGTTGGGACTTGAGCCATGTTGACGCTGGTGTGTGGGGTAAGTGTCAGTGGGTGCTTGGGGTAACTTGAATGGAAGCTTGTGAGATTCAGAAGTTGTAACGAGGTTGCGCAATGTGATGCAAGGTATGGTTTCCAGACAGACGGGATTCCAGCGCAGCAGTTATATAAGGGGGGAAGAAAGACTGAGGAGGACCCGTATCCGGATCGATGGCTATTTGGTGGGCATTCCTTCCGGTAGAGGGGAAGCAAGGCCTCCCAACGCTTTGCAGTCTGCAGGTTCCAAACAAGAAGATTCCCGAAACGCCCATATATCCGGGATGGACCGTGTGCGTGGCGGCTTCGAAGCAACCGGATCCGTTTAACGCAAGCAGCGGGTGGTGGATATGGAGACGGCACCAACAAAGGGCCACACGCCAGAAAATATGGGATGATCCGCAATGTACGACAAAAGCCAAAGATGGCAAGCCACGCTAGTTGGAAGCGTGTTGCTCACCGTAGGTGCGGTGATGGGGTTTCCGAGACTTCGGTTGACCGGGACACGGCCTTGTACGGAATACGTGATGAAGAAGAATAGAGGAATGGCATGACTTTGAAGCACCACAATTGAGTCACTGCACGCGAAAACTGGTTTCTCACTAGTCAGTCCACGGAGCACGAAAAAAACAAGTCACCAATCGGACGCCGCGGGGGGGGGGGGGGTCGAGTTTGTCGGCGCTGCTTCGCTCCCACCGTCACTCGTCGGAACGGGAGCACCGGGGCGGGGTCCCGCAAAGATGGTGTGTACTATGGCATGCAAAACAGCTGTTCAACAAGCCGGAAAAAAGAAAAATTGGAGAAGTGTGTGGTGCAGACAAGAAAAGATTATCATGATGGTGCATAAATCAGCTGTTTTTTCGGCGCGTTGTTCTCGCTCAGCCGATCAACGCCATAGTGCGGGGGAAATTGTATCGCATAGAGCACTACCTCGATAAGAGAGCTTATCTTATCCACAGTATAGATAAGCAATAACCTTAAGTATCCTAAGATATAGTATTATCTTATAACTTAAATTATATAGCCTAAGGCTAAAAAATAGAATATATAAATTAACTAGTTATCCTTTATAGTTTTATTTAATATAAGATTAATTTTCTTTATTATTTTTATTTTTTATTATTTTTTTATAAATTATATTAACTATATTATTATTTTATATAATTATATTAATATTTTATAGTTATAAGCTTATAAGGTTTTTAATTATATAAGGTATTTATTATAACTTAAAACTTTTTATAATATTTATATTATATAGATTTTTTCTTTTATTATTATTTTATTTATTATTATTATTATTATTATTATTATTATTATTATTATTATTATTATTATATAATATTTTATTATTTTATTATTTTATTATATTATTTTATATTAAAACTATAATCTTATTTAGATTTAAATAATATAACTTAGAAAGTTAGTTTAATTAGATTTAAGCTTTTTAATTCTTTATAATAAATATATAGATAATTATTAATCTTATAAAGAAAAATAATATTAAAAATATATTAAACCTTTTTAATATACTTATAGAGATTAAAATATATAAGGTAGAACTTTATAAAATTATAAAGCTTAAAAAACCTATTAAAATAAACTTTAAAATACTTAATATATTTAAAACCTTATTTAATTAAAAGTAATAAAAATATAAGATTACTTTATAAGTATATAAAGAAAATAAAACTAAACTAAATAAGGTTTATAAACTTATTATATTATTTATTAATCTTTATTTAATAATTAAAATATATAATAAGCTTAAGAAAAAATACTTAAAAGGGTATACTATTTACTAATTAGTTAAGAGGCTTAAGTTAATTATTACTCTAAATATAATATATATAGAGGTTAAGGTAGACTATATTTATAAGAGTATATTATAAAATATATATTAAAAGAATATTAATATTAAAAAATAGCTTAAGAATTAGAAAATAGTATATAATTATATAAATATATTTAATATATTATTAATTAATAATTATTTTATAATTAATAATTTTATTAAAGTTATTAAAATAAAACTATATTTAAAATAGGCTTTATTATAGTTATATAAAAATAAGGTTTATATTACTTAAAATAAAGAACTAAAAATAACTTTATTAAAATATAAAACCTCCCTCTATATAAATAATAAACTATAATCTTTAAAATTAGCTTTTATATATAATATACCTTATAATAATAAAAAGTATAAAAAGAATAAGGTAAAGGACTTTATATATCCTTATAATACTAAAAAGAGGTATTAATAAAAGCCTAAAGAATATTATATATTTTAATTTATTATAATAGGTAATAAGAAAGTATATATTATAAAGCTTCTAACTACCTAGTAGATCTTTAATATTAAAAGCTACTTTAGTATTAAATATAATATATATATAAAAGTAAAATATATATAGTATAAAGATAATAGGAGTTTTATTAATAATAAAAGAAAGAGTAATAAATTTATATATATATTATTTAAGCTTAAACTTTTAAAAGATTATAAAGATAAATATAGTTTTCTTAAAAAACTAACTTATATTATTAATATAGCTTTTATAGACTTAGGTAAATACTATTTATATAAATCTATACTCCTTAATAATTATAATAGTATATATATTATTAATAATATAATACTTTTTAATCTAGAATTAATTTAAGTCTTAGATAATAGATTTTCTATAAATATTAGTAAATAGATCCTTTAGCTAGATAGTATTAAAACCTATATAATAATAAATATATTAAATATTAAGAATAAATTTAAATTCTTAATATTAAATAATATATATATAATACTAGAAATACTAGTTAATATTATATTAAAAATACTAGTTTACTTTACTAGTATATAGCTATATAGTTTTAATTATACCTTATATAAAAGAGATATAGTAAAAAGTAAAGTAATTTAATAGTTAACTTACTTTAATAACCTTATATTTTTTAAATATATTCTTTTTTAATAATTATTAATATATTTAGAAGATAATATAATTATAATATTATTAAAATAAAAGAAAAGATAAAGCTATAAATACTTTATTTAACTACTACTAGTATTATAAGCTAATAAATACTTATAATATCTTTACTTAAGGTATTTAAGGCTATAAGCTTTAAGTATAATTAATAAGAGTATATTAAATATAAAGATTATTAAAATTAAGTATATTAACTATAAAAGCTATATATTAACCTATATAGGCTAAGTTATTTTATAATAACCTAGCTATAACCTTATTTAAAAACTATTTAATAGGATTAGTTAAGATTTTTAAGATTATCTTATAAGTTATAATAGTAAATTCTAATTACTTACTATTAAAAATAAGTATATAAGGTATATCTATTATTAGCTATTACCTTTAAAAGTATAAAAACCCCTATTTTATACTATTTAAGCCTTTTATATATAGGTAAAAACCTAATATAGACTAGATATATATATAATATAGTAAGATAATAAGCCTTTAATAATTTAATATAATTCTATTTATACTAAGTACTAGCTTTAAGTATAAGAAAAAGGAATTACCTTAAAGATACTATTATTATATATAAAAAAGCTAAATAATAGTATTAAGTATATAGAATAAAAGATAACTATATACTCTATTAAGATATTATATAATACTAACCTTTTAAAGAACTTATAGCCTAAAAGTTATATAACTATTATAATATTAATATATATTAGTCTATTATAAAAGTATAATTAGAAGATATTATATAAGATACTTATTAAATAGCTATAAAAGAATTCCTAAAAGTATATATATAAACCTATATTTATATTAAATATTTAGCCTAAGTAGAGAGTTTTATAAGCCTATAAATACTATATATATATACTATTAAGAAAAAAGAAGTAAAGATTTAATAGAAAAGACTTTAAAATTAGCCTTAAAGGCTATATTAAATATTTAGTTAACTATATTATAACTAATATTTATAAAGTATAAATTCCTTAACTAGAGTATATTATTATTATAAAGAATATATATTTTAATAAAAAGCTATTTTACTAGCTATAAATAGAAAGTACTAATATACTTCTTATTATTAAAGTAAATAGCCTTTATTAAGAACTATTTTAAAATAAAGAAGATAAGCTAAGGCTTTATCTTAAGATAACTATATTACTATACCTAAGTAAAAGAAAGCTAAGTAATATTATATTAAAAGTATTAAAAAGCCTTATAATAAAAGTATTAAAGCTTAATATAGTTTAAAGTATAAGGTTAATAACTCTTAAAGGCCTTTAAAGAGAAATATTAGAAGTTATAGTAAATAATAATATCTTATTAGTTAACCTTAAAGTAATATATAAATTAGCTTAAGAATTACTAAGTCTTAAGTTAATTCTATTTTTAAAAAAGAAAATTAATTATATTAATAAAGTAGTTATTTTAAAAGATAATAAATTCTAACTTACTTTAAAAAAGCTACTATTTATTAATATAAATAGCCTTAACCTAGAAGAAAGTATTAAAAATATTTTATAATAAAGTATTAAAAGTATATTTATATTTAAACCTAATCTAATTATTTCTATTAAAAAGCTAGTTATTAAGAAAGATAGATAAAGCCCTTATAAAGAAAGAAAAAAGTAAGTAAGATATATAAAAGGCTAGAATATAGCTATTCTCCTAGAACCCTAAGAAGATATAATTATTAGAGTTAAAGTACTTTATAACCTATATAAAAAAGATTAAAGTTTATTATAGTTTTTTATAATATTAATAAATATATTCTAAATAAATAAAATAGCTTAATTATAATTATATTATTATTATAATAATTTTTTATTAGTATTAAAAGATAATTAAATAATAAGGAATTATCTACTTTAATAGCTTTAAAAAGCTATTAAATAAAGTAAATTTAAATAAGTAGAAAAAAAGGAAACCTTTAAGATTATAATTAAAACTAATAATATAAAAATATTACCTCTTTACTAGGTTTATATATAT